AAGGCGATATTAAAATACCCGATTTCAAAAACAACAAAAGTAATCAAGGGATTTCTCGGACTTCTAGACTACTATCGTAAATTCATTCCGAATTTCGTTAAAATAACAAAAACCGTTAACCAATTGTCTCAAAAAGCACGCGACCATTAATGTAAATGATCCCACCTTCGTAAAAACATTCGAAGACTGTGAAGTATTATCAACCAACGAGCCGCTGTTGCAATATGCCAACTTCTCCAAATAATTTAACTTAACTACAGATGCAAGCAGCTTTACCATAGGTTGTGTACTCTCACAAGGTCCGTTCGGACAAGATAAACCAATAGCTCACGCATCTAGGACATTAAATTCTGCCGAGCAAAATTATTCAGTAATTGAAAAAGAGCTCTTGAGTATTGCTTTGGGGAACGCGGGAACGCGTTATTTTAGACCATATTTATTTGAAAGAAAATTTAAAATCATCACTGACCATCGCCCACTCCAATGGCTGATGAACTTAAAAGAACAAAGTTCACCCTTAGTTCGATGGTGTCTCAAACTCGAGAAATTCGTTTATCAGATAATTTATAAAAAAGGGAAATACAACGCGAATGAAGTAACTGATACTTCGCCAATACCACCTGAAAATAACGACAGCAACCTTGACTCAAATCTACCGCCTGTTCTGCAGTACATGCAAGAATACAACGATAACCCCGTTCTAGACAGTCTGCTTTTGAACACAAGTCGCGGACCCAATGATCAAATTACAACAGCTTTTGACAATAATGAAAACAATCCTGATGTTGCGACCGACAAACAGTCAATTACTGGCCAAGATGACCCTAACGAATTTAATGATAATGACAACGTACATATACCGATTCTGAAAACCCCATTTTATCTATTCACATTACTGAAAAACCAATAAATTATTTCCTGTGTCAAATAGTCATTATAAAAAACGAAAATAACCCCAGAATTGAAATAAAGAAAATCTTCCAAAATCCTGTGAATAGAACCCGATGGTATATGTACATATTTACGTAACAAACGATCCATTCCAAGCGCAAATTATCCAATACATGAAAGAATACGTAGAACCAAAGAGGCACTAATAAAATGCTTTGTGTCTGTGTATTCAAGGAAGATAGACACCACAGCCGCGAAATTGAATTTCGCGCCCGCCACACCTTACGTGCAAAATGTGCCAAATCCTTGTCAAATCCATACATTTTTTCTGTAACTCTACATAATTTTCTCATAGTTGCATAAAAAATAGTATGTATACCATGACCGCGAAATTTTTTTAGCGTCCTCGATATTATCTTGCCTCGGCCGCAAGCGGCCTTGGCGATAACTTTTCTCTATGTATGCTAATAAGGCATTTCGCGGCCTTGGTATAAAAATAACTATTACTAGTGAGCTTAAAGGGTTAATCAAGCCCCTTTTTGATCTATGCCCTGGACTGATTGATTTTAATTTTTAATTGACTAGACTACCTACGTTTACTACGTAGTTTAAGTGCGTTTATAAGTTTCAAGTAACAGAAGTTTGTGCGCAATTAAAGAGGAATTTATGATGTTTTCTAGCTTTTCTTATTGATAGGTTATAGAATCAATCAATGAATCAATTTGCTTTTGCAAAGATGTCAAATCGATGTAATGTAAGAATATGTCCTCGTCAGGTGAAGTAGTGTCATCAACCTGTGAAAGGGTTTGGTCGGTAAATTTTCGTGGATTTTTGAATATTTGTTTGTGATAAGTATTTTGCGTGGTAGTGACAGTTAAGTCATTACTTTGCAAGACGTGTTCTGGTTTATATAAAGGATTTGTTTTGCCCTGGCGGTCGGTTAGTTTTTTTTTTATAACCTATTGTTCCGGCAGCCTTATTCTGTAACTTGCGACCGCAGAGAATTGCGCAATTGTTGCTGTCAAGTCGCTGTCAAACGAGAGTTTTCTATTCAAAAAAAGCAACTTGCGACCGGTTGCTGGTTTCTATGTAGTTGCTGTTCTTTCGGTTTTCGTTGGCTTTATAAATTACCTTTTTTTATGCTCGTTCATTTTATTATGAATATTTTTATAAATGCCTGAGATTATCTACTTATGTTTATTTAATTCGTGATTAATTAATTGGGTATCGTTAACAATATCGATTGGTTCTTCTAATTAGACGTGACTAAAGATCAAATCGATTGGTTTCTGTTTTGGTACCTGAAGGATTGAATTGTTATACCCTATAATAGAAAAGTTTAATTTTTCAAATCGAGTTTTGGTTTGGTTTGGACAAAACTAGAGTCTGCATGTGCTCTAATAATGTACAGTGAAATCTTTCAACAATAGAGTTGCTATTCGGGTTTAAGGGCAAGGTGAACTGCCAATTGGTCTTATAAAGTTTGGCGAATTCTTTGAGGATATTTTGGTTGAATTCGGTACCATTATCAGATACGATGTTTTCTGGGATTTTATAATTTGAAATAAACTGTAAGAGAGATTGATACACGTGTACGGTAAATAAGCTCGGTAAGACATAGTCCAAATTTCGAGAAACTATCACAAATTGTTAATGCAACAATTTTTTCACATTTGAAAGTATCCACATGAATGGTTTCAAATGGTTTTTTAGGCGTAGGTGTTAATTGCAATTTTATTAATGGGTGGGTGACGTTCATATTATTTTACTTGTTGACAGATTGAGCAACTCTTTATGAATTTTGTGACATCATCATTCATTTTGGGCCAATATTATTTTAGGCGTAGTTGGTCAATCCTTTCGTGAATATCTCTATGGTTGATGATACCTTTATGTTGGCTTTTAATTAAATTTTTCTGCCTATCTTCCTTATTTACATCACAAAGCATTTTATTATAAATATTTCAAAAACTTGTAAGATGCGCATTTAAATGTTTGCGGTATAAATTCACACATTTGTCTAAACAGCATTTCGTCTTCGTCATTTTGAAAAAGAAAGACTTATTGCCTCTTTGGTTCTACATATTCTTTTATGTATTGGATAATTTGTGCTTGGAAAGAATCATTTGTTACGTAAATATACCATCGGGATCTATTTACAGGATTTTGGAAGATTTTCCTTATTTCATTTCTGGGGTTATTTTCGATTTTTATAATGACATTTGACACAGAATAGTTATTTTTGTATCTAGTGCGGGAAATCCCATTTTGGTGAACGAGAACGAAAGTTTTTTGACGACGCGCAGCGGAGTCAAAAAATCGTTCGAGTTCACCAAAAACATTTCGCACACGAGTTGCAAACAACGTTTTTTCTACAGACAGAATTGAAATATTTTTGGGTCATATCAAAATCAAATAATTCAAGGAAATTCTATTTCAGAACAGCCTGTTAAATGGTTGCTACGGATTTTTTTTTTTTTTTTAAATGACACCATGCACCACATACTTCTTGTCAAAGTTTTTTCCTAAGGTCTGACCGACGCGGCATCATTTCGGTAAAAAATGTTAATTAGAAATAGAAATTGTAGAAGAATTTGTAGTTCCCAATATAATAATACAGCTAGTTTTGCAATTGCAGCAAACCTTTTGACTGAAAAATCAAAAAATGATGTTCGCACCAAACCGTCAAAAAAGTGACTAAAACCGTAATTCTAATGTATTTCGAGGATGAATCGAAAAAGTTCAATATCCTGCTCTTATTCAATTTAAGTGGATAGGTCCCCAGAAAATATGAGTTAAATTTTCGTCCATTTATGTATTTTTGAAATATCGCCACTGAGCGTGCACGAAGTATGTTGTAATTAAGGACTTCCGGGCTGTTAATAAGGCACACACGACACTACTTTTAACGAAATATATTCTTGGTGAATTAGACAGATATCGGTGAACCGGATAGCGCGTATGGACGGTAATAACGTCAAGAGTTATTTTTTTAAAGTAAAGCGGTATCATAGTTTCAAATTAGAGTTATCGGAAAACAGTTTAACGTAAAATTTGCCTGTTCGCATCCATTATTTTATAACCGTAGCCTAACTTGTACCTTGTTGAGATTTTGATTTGTGTTGTCTGTTGTTTATGGTCAGGTACAGAGGATTTGCTTTTTCACTATTTTTTGAACAATCCATATTCACTTGAACACAACAAAAATAAAATAAACAATAAACATAACATAACCTATATTATTCCACGGCGTTATTTTTAGGCGTTATTCGAAATAGCGCTTAACGTAAAAGCTGGGTAAATTACGTTATGCGGTAACGTTATTTTAGTACGTAGTGTTAAAAATCGAATCGCGCATAGGTTTAATGTCAAAATAACGTAGGTGCTAATACTGCATGACACTTTTTGGATTACCGATATCTCTCTAATACCTAAACACACAAAAAAATACAAAATCCGATAATTCAAATTTTGACGTTTGTCCAGAATATGACAGAATCAATGACATTCAGAATAAACAACACAGTGCTTGACCCTTTCGTTTTTGACAGGTCAAGGGCGAGTTCAGGAATGACACACCCAGTGTGAGTGTGACACCGGTGCGACGCCCTAGCTGTTCAAAAATGCTAGACGGTGCTATGGGCCCAATGGCCAATTGTCAATTCAGGCACACCCATAAAATCGCACTCACACCCGGTGTGTTATTTCTGAACTCGGCCCAGTAGATTGCCTAATTGTCATCAGTGTGCAAACATCATCTTTTTTTGACAGTTGTAGAAAATATATATTTTTGTGACATACCCCAGAGAGTCTTGGAGCAATCCTCTTCAGGGCTGCCTTACCCCAGAGAGTTTTGCCCTTCTGCGCATCGCCGCCTATACGTGCGGGAACCAGTTGCATCCCCGTATATGTACGTAGGGCCCCAAACCTCGCCCCAAACGTAAGAATTATGTGGCACACCTTCGTAGTGCCCCTTTGGTGATGTACCCACTAGCAGACAATATACGTTAACCTCCTTTTTGTGGTTGTGTGTTTTCCTGAAGAGCAACCCCCAACCTCAGGTCCTAGCCACATTAGCCGCGAGGCGTGTGACAATAATAATAATAATATTATAATATAAGGAAACAAAAAGATATATACATTTATTATTGGTTTATCTACATTTATTTCATTAATTTAATTTTAAATGCCAGTCACATTTCTGATAAATTCACGATAGGAAGGTGTAGAAATACGAGTCAAGGTTCCTGGAGCGGCGCCGCAAGGTGGCAAACCCCAAGAAGCAATACCATATTGGATTCCATCAATGACAAAAGGACTTCCAGAATCACCCTAAATAAACGTATAAATAAATGAATCAGTAGATATATACTAATAAACCGATTCTTACGTAGCATGCTCCGTTGTAGTGTTGATCAGTACACAAATTATGGAAACTATTGAAGACATCCCCACGACCGAAGTCGGCAATTCCTTTCCTGCATTCACTATCGGTCAAAAGTGGCAAACTGACTTTTTGTAAAAGTGGCATATCTTCTCCATAGGTGTCGTTTGTACCCCATCCACATAGATTCCCAATTTTGTGGAATGGTATCTGATCATCAGAATCAACCAATTTGATTGGTTGGGCTTTGGAATCGAATGTAATAGGTTTTTCAAGCTAAAATTAGTTTGTGTGAATATCTTTATTCAAGTAGAACATTTGAATTTAGTAAAAGCCTGATTAGAATTTAAAAAAATTTATTTTATTTACCTCCATAATACCAACATCAAAATATGGGATATCTCCTGCAGTAGTCCGGTTATAGTTGAATTGTGGATGCCAATATTTATTTATGATTTCAATTTTGGTGCCATTTCCTCCACCCAAGACATTGGTTCCCAAGAGAATACTTCCGCTTTAATGTTGAATAAAACATTAATTATGTTTTGAAATAATTTACAAATGATCTACGTTTCGTCCATAATTGTTACCAATTGAGCTGATCCGATAAAATGTTGAGAGCAACTTCTGTTTAATTGCTGCTATTGACTAAATAATAATTATTTTTTAAAGTTTCACCAAATTATGTAATTTCAATTAGTAATATTTTAGATAGGGAACTAACAAGACCACTAGTTAGTGTATTGAATCATTTGAATTATGGATTTAGTTCCTTTAGTCTTACCCATGATCGAATTGACTATCCCAAACACAATGACCAGCCGTCAAAATCCATCTGTCGCCTATAATTGATCCACCACAATAGAAATAATTGAAATCATCATGTAATTGAACCTACGAATGAAAAAAATATTTCAAAAGTGCAAAAGTTCGAATGATTAACAAGATTTAGGTAATATATGGATTAGGGTAGCACATCGTATTTTAGCTTCATACTACTATTATCTTTCTTTTCCTCATTAGGTTTATAAGTTACTGTTAAAGTGACATATTTTTTTGAACAGTTAAGCCTAATTTAAGTGAATCTGTATTTAAATTTGTGATAGTGCTAGTTTTATAGTTATTTTCGTGTTATTATTTAAAATAAGGTTAAAGGCACTTACAATGTATGGGAATTCTCCATCTTCTGCGGTAGTTCCATTTATAATTCCGACAGGGTGTTGGGGTTTTGCTATTACTAGAAAAAATTTAAGACAAATGGAACGATATATGTAATCATACAACAGATACAAAATTATTACAAAAATAAATTATGTAACAATTATTTAATAAAAAATGGGTATTTAAAAATAAAATAAAATAATAATAAAAGTACTACCTACCTTCATTGAGACTAACAGCCAAAATCACAAATAAACAAATAGAACCTACTAGCTTATTCATCTTCGACCAAGTTCTTGAGTAGACAAACTAAAATTGCACAATGATTTCGAAATTTATATGATTCGCAGTTTTGGAAACCATTGTACTTGAAACTGGCATTATCGGTGTTTCTTACCTAGTCATGATAATCGAACGGGATCATTATCGCTAGCTTGAGAAGCACTTGAACACATTATTCAACCCGCAATTATTATAAAAAAGTCTATAGTCCGTTCATAAAGTTTATGGAATTTTCCGACCGCGTGATCTGAGATTTTGGACGCTGATTGGCTAGAGTTTGAGGCCTCGCTAAGACCTTGGGCTTGAGCACTGTTCGCATCAGCGTCCAAAATCTCAGATCCCGCACTTGAAAAAGTCTACAGACTTTATGAACGGACTTTAGATACCATTGCACGCTTCTTTGGTAAATTCGCATTGAAGGCTTTCCAACATCTTTACTCAATATAAAGCAAGTGACATAATCGTCAGACGTAATCAACAGAATAAACAAAACTAGAATTTGGAATATTAAGGGGCTCTGTGAAGAAGGCAGGCACACTTGAAGCACAAAAGTTAAATTTTATGTAGGTAATTGTTTAGCGCTTCGTTAGTGTTTCGATGTGTTTCAATCCCCAAATTAGCCACCCTTGTATTTTCTGATATATTTTGGTTTTTTGAAATAGCGTGCTTACTTCACACCCAGCAGGAACAAGAGAAGCACCAACGTTTAGTTACAGATTAATGGTTAGTGCTTCAATCCCCAAATTAACAACCATTAAATTTTCACCAATGTTCAAAAGTAGATAGATGGTTAGTGCTTCAATATACTTCGATCCGCAAATTAGCAACCCTTATATTTTCACTTTCTAGAAATCGCCTGCTCGCCTCACACCCAGCAGGAACAAGGAAAGCACCAAGGTTCAATTACAAATAAATGGTAAGTGCTTCAATGTGCTTCAATCCCCAAATTAGCCTCCTTTAAATTTTCAGAGATATTTCGGATTTTAGAAATTGCCTGCCTGACTACTTCACACCCAGCAGGAACAAGGAAAGCACCAATGTTCAGTTATAGATAAATGGTTAGTGCTTCAATCCCCAATTTAGCAACCCTTGAATTTTTGGACATATTCTGGTTTTTAGAAATCGCCTGCTTAGTAGTAGGAACATTGGAAGCATCAACGTTTAGTTGTAGATAGATGGTTAGTGTTCGTTAATGAATAGTTGAGCAAATTAGCCGATTTCGTGACGCAAATTTGACCATTAACTTTGGCAAATGAAATTTTTTCTCAGATTAATTTGTCTATTTGCGTTATGTTGTTGACGGTTCGGAGTTTAGAACTTCACTTGCTATCGTCAACCATAAGCGTCCGGAAACCACGATGCAGACTAAAAATTTCTTAGGTATGTGTTCTTGGTATAGACGGTTTATAGAGCATATTAGTATAGTTTAGCAGCACCTCTAAACGGTCTTTTCAAGGGGAAGGGTAAAAAGCAGCGTATCGTGTGGACTCCTCAAGCAGATGAATCTTTTGAAGGAATTAAACAGAAAATGATAACCGCTCAAGTGTTGGTATCCCCCGATTTTGGTGTTTCTTTCGTGATACAACCTGATTACTAGTGATTATGGTTTAGGTGCAATTTTGATGCAGACACATAATGGTAGAGAAGTTGTAATAGCATACGCAAGCCGTACTTTGTCCAAATCGGAGAGAAATCTTTCAGTTACAATGAAGCAGTTGTAAGCCCTTGTTTTTGCGTTGGAAAAATTTCATTGTTACGTTGAACTTGGTCCTAAATTCAATTAGTGGATCATGCTTGTTTGATGTGGTTAAAAATTTGGAAAATCCAAAAGGTCGTTTAGCCAGAATTTTGACAAAAATTCAGCAATTTGATTCCCGGATGTGAAAACGTACCTGCCGAATTTTTAAGCAGATCAGTGACAGAAGCGGATGTTAATTTTCTTAATATAACATTAGACTCACTCGACCCATATGAATCTCAGAAAAAAAAACTTTGAGCTGCCAGAAAATTATCCACTGTTGTAAAGCAGTAAATTATTCATTTTATCATTAATAACAATTATGATCATCACATTTCCTCTCTTTAAGAAATTCCACCATCTGTTTGGTCTAGTTCCTCATCAATTAGGTACTTTACAACTTAATAATTATTTAGGTTTTAAAGATGTGCCGACTGGAAATATTTTTGCAACCAATGTCCTGTAAACATCAATATCCAAACAAGATGTTTTCAATTATCGGTATCCGATACCTCTATTGCAGAAAGCAGAAACCCAAATTTTTGTAAATATAAATAAATATAACCCATGAAGGGTTGTGACAGAGATGTTATGTATTGATATTTTGGTAGCGTGAATAATTCTGTCACATCTTAAAATTTCGTGGTAAATGATACTGAAAAGTAAATTTGATCTGAAGCAGTAAATACCAGTTTTCTGAATCGGAGGCAATCTGAACGAAGTCTTCTTTCCAGTTCGATTCGAGATCTTGTTTGGTATACAAGTGTATTTATCGGCTTATCGGAATTCGTTCTTTTTTATCATAATTTACCGGAAAGTCGGTGTTAAAAATTTGCGATTTAATCAAATAATAGTGCTAAATAATAAATAATAAAAATGCCTCCCCCGGATGGGGAGGGCGTGGAAGGGACGTTAAATAATGCCCTAAATGACTCTGGTGGTAGTGACAATACAATGGAAATAGCCGAAAATTACGGAAATAATGTTTCACCAACAAAACAACCAGATAACGATCAACCCAAAAAAAATTTTAATATATTTTCGGATAAGTACAATATTAAATTTATTTACGTTATGATAGAAAGCACTGAGTCAGAAAACTTTGATAGAATACATCCTTTAAAAGTAGGACATATTTTACATAAAAAATTATTCTTAAAAAATATTATTGAAATCAAAAGTATGGGTAAAAACAGGGTTAGAGTACAGCTTCACTCATTAAAGGATGCTAATGACTTATTAAATAATAGTGCCTTAAAAGCAGAAAAATTGCGAGCCTTTATTCCCAATCATATACTCGAATCCAAAGGTATTATAAGGGGTGTCGATACATTTTTTAGTGAAGAATATATTTCAACTAATATTAAATCATCTTCTCGCTTAATTAGTGTCAAACGTATGGAAAAAAATGTAACCGATAAAGATGGGCAGTCAATAAAAGTCAAAAAACAAATGGTTTTTTTAACCTTTGAAGGTAATTTACTACCAAATGATGTAAAAATAAATAGCGTGTCATTTCCAGTTGAAAGATTTTACGGTAGGGCTGCTCAGTGCTTCAAGTGTCTTAAATTTGGTCATATATCAAAACAGTGTCGCGCTAAAGATTCATTGTGTATATCCTGTGGTCAAATGGTGATCGAAAATACAGTTCATAACTGTGATACAGCAGATATTTTCTGCATACACTGCCAAGTACGAAACTCTCACAAATCTGTCTCTCCAAAATGCCCCTATTTTAAAAAACAACAAAAGATCAGAACAATCATGGTGGATAACAACATTACTTTTACCGAAGCTGAGAAGCTTTGTGAAAACTCTTTTGCAACTGTTACTACTAGTAACAGATTTAATAATTTGGAAAATCTAAGTGACTATCACACTAATTTTCCCCCTTTAAGCAATAAATTTACAAAAAGCAGTTTAAGTCAACCTAATCCCTCATAGAGGCGTTCACTACCAGCAAATATCCTGTCACATTCACAACCATCTACATCTTCCTGTACAAATATAAACAAAAAACGAAAAATTAATATTTTAAATTCTCCAGAACCTATGTTTCCCTTTACTTTTAGTCCCTCTACCCCCTTAGCACCGAATACACTTAGTAATCAAGATATTTTAGAAAAGGAAAAAAATAATCTTATAAATAGTACCTATATCAGGTTATGTAATAAGTTTACTTGGAAAAATTAAAACAATAGAAGATATTAAAAATATTAAATTAGATAGCCTTAAAAAAGAAATGGTTGAACTTATTGTAACTTCCACTTATAACTCGTAATCCGAATGGCTAATTCAACTCAAATCAAAATAATGCAGTGGAACGGTCGTTCCCTAATATCAAATAAACAAAGTTTTGAAATTTATTTAAATAAATACAATATTGATGTTGCTTTAATTTGTGAAACCTGGCTTAAGCCAGGCCACAATGTAAGTTTTAAGGAGTAGTCAGGAGTACCATATTATAAGGAAGGATAGAGCAGATGGTAAAGCGGGTGTAGCTATATTAATTAAAAAAAACCTAGCGTACCGTATCATAACTTTAGACCAGAATTTTAATACAGGCAATAATATCTGCGGTGCCACAATTTTAGTTGGTGACAAAAAAGTAACCTTTTTATCAGTGTACAAACCACCTAATGTGAATACCTCCTTTAGTGATTGGAGCAACATTAGCTCTCAAATTTTACCTCCATTTATAGTCGGAGGTGATTTCAATGCACATAGTACCTTGTGGGGTTCACACAAAAATAACTCTACTGGAATACAAATTTCAAAATTGATGATTTTGACTACATACTTTTGAACACTGGTGATAGTACAAGGGTGCAACGGCCGGAATGCAACAAATCGGTTTTAGACTTGAGTTTTTGCTCACCAGATTTAGCTTCCAAAGCACTGTGGAGCATTGAATCAGATACATTGGGATCTGACCATTTCCCGATAAATATACTACTTGAATATAACAACGCAAATTTTTCTGAGATAATTCATCCAAAAACAAAGTGGAATGTTATTAAAGCTAACTGGAATGGTTACTATACTTATATAGATCAATTCATGTTAAATACCCCTAACTTTGTCGATAATATTGAAAAATATGATTTTCTCACTGAATGTATTAACACTGCTGCTGACCTATTTATACCTAAATTTAAACCATTTTTAATTAAAAATAAATTACCAGCTCCATGGTGGGACACACAAGACTGTGACCCTATGTTGCTTAGACGAAAGGAAGCCCTGAAATTATATGAACAAAACCCAAGTATGGAAAATTATTTAAACTGTCAAAAAGTGCAAGCTGAAACTAAAAAGTTTTTTAAGTCTAAAGCTAGAGCCAGCTGGTGTAATTGGTGTTCCAATTTAAATAAAAATACTCCCTCCACCAAAATATGGTCGCAAGCACGTTAAATGAACAGAGTAACTGCATACAAAAAACCAGAAAAAGATGACTAGGTTAAATGAATTCTATGACAACATAACACCTCCCTCTGTCCTACCCAAACCCCCTAACATTACTT